AATAGTGGAGGTTTCCTTTAAGTTAAGCATCTTATATTGGCAGGCCAATCAAATAAGTTAATACACTTTTTTTTTTTTTTTTTAAGTACTTCTAGTTTCTAGAGCGCTTTGCATTGTGGGATACAGTATTGTGCAATGTGCTTCACATTTTATTAAATGTAGTACGTCATCTCAAGGAGATTTATAATAAATTTCATGCATCTCCAAAAGAACTTGTCCAGCTTGTGCAGGTCCACCCCGAAATTCATGATAAGTGATCCGTCATCATTGCTCGTGGATGCTCAGACAAACGTTTTTTTGAGATAAAACGTCATGTGACTAATGACTAGACTCACAGGAAAATTATGTCATGGCAACACAGAAACCTTCAAATACAAATCAGGCATTGGTAAAAATAAATAAATAAAAATAAAAAGTATATATATATCATGTCCTGTGACAGATATCAAATAAATAAAAATTCCGAACAATAACATTTAAGACGGCACCACATTCTTGTAATTTTAACATTTAAAACTTTATTGGAATGATACATGTTGCAAAATATTATTCTGTGTATTTTTTTTTAAACATACTCGATGTGTCCTACGGGTATCCGTCAACTTCTCCAGAAGGTAAAATAATTAAGACTGTTAAAGGCAGAGAATATACAGTATTGTTTCCCGAGAAGGTACAATAAACTACACCATCACCATACCCATGTCGGGAGGAAAGAGACTCCTGTTATTGAAAATACACTTAGAAAATATGCAAAAGTAAATCAAATGTTTTCTTCATGATTTTTTTTTTTAAAAAGCAAATAGAAGAGTGTAGGAAACTGGATGTGTTCAAAGGCAAACTGTATCATGGACTGATGCGTGCGCACACACACACAAAAAAAGATGACTGACAATGTGAATGAACAGATGAGTGGGAGACTGAAGGATGTGTGACACCCATGTATTTGAAAGGAAGGGACGGGACCCAGAGATAGAGGGACGACATATGAATACCGCCAAAAATGTCACATATTTCCATGCTCTGACAAAAAAAGGTGTAATGAAGGTGCATTTGAGCCATAATTTCCCAAAAGTCACTTGCTTTAAACAGAACCCTTCCACAGTCCCTTCCACGTTCAAGTTCAAAGATGAGGGGGAAAAAACTCACGCGAAAGCCAACCTGTACATTATAACTCAGTGCACCAGTTGAGGATAGTCTTCCGTTGCTTCTAGCGTCACAAGACCAGCGCAGTAATCAAAACGTAGACGCATTCTTTAAACACTGATTGTTTTGTTTTCCAGCTATTCAAACCAAGCGATGGAGCCGTTTCTCCTGTTTTTACACCCATTTTATGACAAAGTCTCCAGAAATGGGGCAAGCAAATGTCCCAGCAATCGCTAGGCATGCAGGAAGAAGTGTGAGGGAGAGAAAATCTAAACCTACCATGTTTTGTGAAATATAAACTCCTGCCCTTTGCTCGTCTATGTTTCTAAAGCTACATCAGCACCCGAATGATCAAAAACGGACCCAATTTGGTCTGTTTTGGCTGTGAATCTGGCAGGCTACAGTGACATAACATTTCCTGAGAGGAAAATGAACAGTAATTTGATCTCATACTGCAATTTAAATGGTATCACAGCCATTCAGTGTCCAATAGATACTTCCGATATTAAAAGAGTTGCTTGAAATACCAATTTTATCCTGGCACCAATCTGTAGTTTGCAAAATTAAGTTACATTACTCATCATAACAAGCGGAAATAACAAACCAAAACAAACAAACCATAAATCAATTTTGCATGATTTCGAAATCGGCACCTAACGAACAGCTGAAGGACTGAGCTTTAAGCGATGGTGTGCATCTCAGTTTTAAAGGAGAAGCGTGTCAATTCTGTGCCACTAACAGCAGCAAAATCACAAAAATAATGACTTTTATCAATTCTAATATATTATGTCCTTTCTGTTACTCAAACAGACTGCGGTTCAATTTGGTGCCACTATTTGCACAGAAGTTACACTTGACCTTTAAAACCGAATAAAACATTCACCAAATGCGCAACTTTATAAGTATAACAAAATAAAATCTTTGCAACACACTACGCATTACTGCACACTTCTGGAAACTAAAAAACAACAACAACAACAACAACAAAAAACCATGGGGACGTTTGCTTTTAGATTGTCTTGCATCCTACGAAGTTATAGAGCAAGATAAGCGAACAAATTTTGATCAGTTCATTGGACGATATTTCAACAGGCCGAGCTTCACTAACTGGTCAATATCTTAATAACACACAATAAAGTCTACATGAACAACAAGCTTATTTCAAGCAGAAATGGAGATTGATTAGTGAAGCCTTAGAGAGTTAAACCATCACTAGCAGGCGACACGGTAGAAAAGAATAATAAAAAATACCCAACAACATCATCCACCAGGAACCCAGTGTAACCACAGAAACAGTGCTCTTTTTCCTTTAAAAGCATCTTTTTTAAAAACAACCAGCTGCATTTCAAGCCTTTGTGCTCACTTTCTATTCACTGTATTCCTTCACTTTTCCGTTTTGTGTTGGTTTATCTCTGGACATGTATCTTAGAATCATAGCCATCTGAGAAAACCTGTAAAATAATGAATTCGGAGCTTCAAGTATGTATACATGCTACAGATCTGAAATATTAAGAAGTGTTACGGTCTTATCAGTGGCCACTTTCAACACTGGCTTAAAATACTCTAAATAATCTAGAGAATGACGAATGATGATCCAAATCAACAATATTTATACCAAGCGGCTGATTCTGCCTGATCCTATAGCACTGTAGGAAATTCATATGCAATGACGAATTTGAAGGATGGTTGTGTGATGCTTGAAATCCAAATGAGAAATGGGTGACGTGTCAAACAAAAAGCCAGATCTCTTGAACGGTGTAAGTTGGATTGATTTGGTATTGGGTGCCAATAGGTGCACAGGAAGTAAACATGATGTGACAGGGTGGAGAACTACAGAGCAAGGACACCAAAAAAATGGGTTGGGAGTAATTTTCTCTGGAGAAGCCAAAATTCAGTACCAGAAAGTAACCTCTATATATCTCTGGAAAAGCAAAAGAAGTAGTCACAAATATCCGCATACCAGCCAGCCACAGAGAAGTGACCGAATCTCTGCCCAATGGACCCTGGCTACCAAACAAGAGGGAAAACATGAAAATGGACAAGTAACAAGTGACGAAGGATCTGAAAAGGCAACACTGCTGGCGTCTCTCTCAGGACTTCGTTCTTCTTCTCCCTCCATCCGTGTGTGAGGGCTCTACGTTGTTGTTACCGGATAAGGCTCAGTCCAGTCCATCATCACCACCACCCTGGAAAACGATTCTTCTCTGTGTTGCCCCACATCTAATTTCTCTCCATCCCTCTCCTCCACTGCTGCTTCTAGAATTCAGCAAACTCCTTTCCACATTTCTCTGTGAAAGAGACCCGGATTTCTTCTTCCTCGTAGTCATCAAAGTTGCTGGTGTCACCGGGGCCTTTGCACTTAGGTATGAAGGGGGCTTCCACCTGAAAACACAGACAAAATGGTCAGGTTATTGCATTGAATGA